AATTCATTTACATCGTGCAATTGGGTAGTTTTTGCACAATTTTTTTCAATGATTGGTGCAGCCATAGGGTTCATACAAATGCACATATGACAAATCATAGAGTACATGCCGAATTTATTGCACTATAATCTCTAACAGAAAATTTGTGCCCTTTAACTGCACACTTGCAGCCATTTTATAGTATACCTTTGAAACATACATGCTATTTGCTGAACTGGAAAACACGAGATTTTAGGTACATTTCTTAATTTTCCATCAGATTTTGTTGATATATTCCAGATAATATTTATCTCATGTTCTATTTTTCAGTATTTTCAAGGAAGTGCTTCTAGCATGGTTGTAAGTCCTGTAGGTGTAAGGCTACAACCTCGGTTCTAACAAAAAGTGTTTGTCACTGAGTTTGCAATTGACCCACTGCATGTAGTGGAGCAATTGATTTTTTTTAATATTTTCCAGTAAGGAAAATATATTGTGCTTTAACACCTCTTTTATGTTAGCGCATTTGAGAATTAATTTTGAGCTTATGTTCTATTATTTGTTTTCGTCCAGTGTTGCGATTGCCCTCAAAGCAGAATCTTCTTATTTGCAAACGTTGAAGGCATATAATTTTGACTGAAATGTTATTTATATTGCTCCCATCCTTCCTTTGTTACACACCAATACAAGAAATTTATTGAGGACATTTTGATTTTTCTTCTTTTCGGTCTCATTTATAATTACATTTCTTTATTTGGTCCCATTGCAATATACTGATGATGGAATGGCCAACTGGAATTTGTTAGTTTTGTTTGATGTTGCATTGAAGCGAATAGTATGTTACTTGGGGCACTTTTTCTGTGGATTCATGTACCAATGTAAATCAAAACTCGTGACCAAAATTGACACGTTGAATGAACTATAATACCCCACAGTAACATATAGGGCACCATCACCCTCCACATCACCAATTGTGCCACTTCGTAAATTATTTTGAAGCACATGCATACCTCAATTTAAGTACTCCATCTCCAATGGTCCAGCGTACATGCATACTTTTTGTGCACACACAGTTACTGCTGAAAATAATAGCTTTTGATTTAGGTCATTTCATTCATAGAAATTTATCCAAAACTAATCTTTAAAATCCAACAGCAACGCGCGGGGAAATCGCCTCACCATCATTTAGCTACTGCATTTATTTTTCTCATTGCCGGTCACATGTATCGAACAAGTTCACTAAGTATTAATGTTTTGTTCCAATTCTCTATTAAAATGAGCATCTTAATTACCCTTAGATTTCCATTAGGACCCCGCTGTCACAGGAGGATAGGACAAAATATATTATACAAGTTATACATGCCTACATGTGATCGATGAATTTGAGCTATTGTGTATCGCTCTAGGTTGTGACTGTTACATGATTGATGTCATCCAAATATCCATCGCTACCCCATGCCTATCCTTTGCTCGTATTGTCTTTGCTAAGTTACTAATATTGTTGTTATGTTTCAACTGCTACTGTTATTATTATTATTGCTACTGCTACTGTTACAGCTACTATCAAAATTATCATATTAGTGTGCTACTAATACTTCGCTGCAGAGAAACAACTTCTCAGGTGTGGTTGAATTGACAACTCAATTGCTAAGTCTTATCCTTGTGTCAAATCAATAAATTTGAATAAAATACTACCCACAAAGACGGTTGCGATCCCCTATACTTGTGGATTATCAGCCTCCTCCTACCTTAACTCCTCAATTTGAAGAAGTTAAGAAGAAGTGGTTCCTAGACAAATCCCTAAAACTTAACTTGCTAAAAAAATAGCACACAACTTCATTTCAAACACAAATACAAACTACTCAATTACATTATTAAACAAAGGTAACATATCATACACACCATAATTAGATGATTTATCACTACATAACATACTTCGACAACTTTAAAGTAGTCCTCGTCGTTAGAGATCTTGTCCCAATTCAAGTCGGAGTCAGAGGAAATAGGGATCACCCCCACGGACGCAGATCCTCTGCCGTGCGGCAGGGTACCGTTCGGCCACTGACAGGTGGGCCCGTCGGGAATCAGGCCCACATGTCAGTGCCCCCAACGGCATGTGCAGTACGTCAGGGGAGCTGCTTCCCACCCCCACCCACCACCACCACCCGAGGGTCCAGCCTCACCGTCGTTGTTGCTAAGCTTCTTGGACTCGAACAACACTTGTTCCTCGATAGCAAGCTACAGATTCTTTGCGATGAGCTTAGACCATATAGGCTTGTCCATGCACTTGAGGCTCGTCGAAGTATGGGACATGGCTGTTGAGGGGGAAGCTTACCTTCACTCGTCTGTCGTAGTAGCAGACCACTGCCATGTCGTACGCATGTGTCGCTTGCTTCACAGACTAGAATGTGCAGAGCTAATGCTTCTCTCGCGTGTCTGGATTACGAAACTCCGCTGCACAAGTGCCACATGGCGGTTGCCACACACCGCAATAATTCTCCAGCGACGGCGGCTGAAACATGGATCTTGATTTCGCAGTGGTGGTAGGTGCTCGGAGTGGCCATGTGAAAATGTTCCAGAGAAACGCAGATATGTGGTGGCCCTCCTCGTCGATGAGCTTGCGGCTACGGTGATGGTTAGATTTGTCGACTCAGGAAACAATGGCATGCGGCGGTCAAATCATGGTGGCACAGGCCGAGGTGGCGGCAAAGCAAGGCAGAGGCAAAGAGGGCGGTGCTGACGTGGAGGCATTCGAGTAGGAAGGAAATCATTATTGTTAAGAAATTGCTTCAACCGCTAAAATTAACAGGTAACCGACCGTCGCCTAAAGTTTTTAAGGAGTTAATAACCTGGTTAAGGGTTCGGTTAGGTCTCGTTCAACACCTCAAAAGGGAGTTTTTTTTTAAACACAGTATTGACGCAAGCGTTCACATACATGCGCATACATTCATCCCTATGAACGCACACACGCACACCTTATCTCTATGAGCACCTTCGAAAGACTGAGCCGGCATATCATCTTGAAATTTATGAAGTTGCCGTAGGCACCTCGTCGTCGACGGGAATGTCTCCCCCCACTGAATGCACATAGCTGAAAATCCTAAAATAAATACGAGCACCAGGATTTGAACACTGGTGAGCTGAGAATACCACAATCCCTCTAAGGGCATCTCCAACAGTTTGTATGTTAGCTTGTTGGTAAAATATGTCATGTCATCAACCAACACCTTAACATACAACATCTTCAATAGGTTGTATCTAGTTTGCCCGATATGATGTGAGATAATAAATGAAGTGCTCTCTCATTCTACATTGGAGCTTGTGCAAGGGGTGTTGATTCATGTACATACAATCTTCCTCTCTTTTCTCATTTATTGTATGACACATCATCAAAAATTCTATGTGGCAAAGTCTACCAACAATTATTTTACAACCAATGAAGATGCCCTAACCATCCAACCACGGGTTGGTTCGCTCAAAAAGGAGTCTTTTGAGAAATTATATTAATACCCTTTTGAGGGTTCGGCTAGAGTTGATCTTAGCTCCAAGCCATCCCTCAAGTCGAGAGATCGTTTACAAATTCGTGTAGATTTGATTTCTATAAGAGCATCTCCAACAGGCGCGCTAGAAGACGCGCCCGCGCGGTAAAGTTCTTTTTAGCATTCGCCGACCGGTTTCGCGCGCTCCAGCGGTGGCGGGAAATAAGCATGTGCGGGAACGATTGAGCGTGCGGGGGAAAAGGCGGCAGCTCGCGCGCAAGATTTGGCGCGCCGCTTCGCGCGCGCCTATAAAACTACAGCGCCATCTGCTGCTCTCTCTCGCTCTCTCCACTGCTTTCCCTCCTCGCCGCCGACACGCCACCACCGCGCCACCATGCCCGCCTCGCCGCCGGGGAGGTTCAGGCTACCGCGGCGTTCGCGTGCGCCCGTCCGGCACCTACTCCGCCTCAATTCAGTCGGGCGCGGCGTGCGCCTCGGCCTCGGAACCTTCGACACCGCCCAGGATGGCGCGCGCGCGTACGACGCTGCGGCGTGGCGCCTCCGGCGGTCCTGTTGGGACATGAACTTCACCGACGTGTCGACGCGGGAGCGGGCACATGAGTTGGCGCATTTCCCGCGGCTTACCACTGACGAGGATCGTCGCAAACACCGGAGGCGGGAGCGTCGTCTTAGCCTGGACGAGGAAGCCATGGCGGTGTGGAGGCAACGCTTCCCGCAAGACATCATCAACGAAGAACAGTTCTTCGCCGAGAGGAGAGCGGAGAGGGAGGAGAGAAGGAAGGAGCGAGCCGCCTATCGCGAGGACAAGCGAACGCGGAAGGCGATCGCTAAATATAACATGGCGCTAGGAGATGCGTCGTCCTCTGACTCCAGCGGCGAGCGGTTCCTTGACTCCTATGCTCAGACGTCGGAGGAGGACATCACCGAGGGAGAGTCTGAGTCGGAGAACGAGTAGTAGTAGAACTATATATCATTGGAGAAGCCAGTTTTATTTTCTATCGTAGAAGCAGGCTATGTGGACGTAGTAGAACTATATATCGTTGGAGAAGCAAGGTTTATTTTGTATCGTGGAAGCAGGCTATGTGGACGTAGTAGAACTATATATCGTTGGAGAAGTCTGGATATACGTATTTTGTATCATAGAAGCAGACTATGTGTGCTGCATTTTTTGCGCGCTGCTGGAGCGACGCGCGCGCTGCATTTTAGTGCGGTTGTTGGAGTCAGCGCTGCGGGCCGCGCAAAATCAGGCGAAGCGCGCGCGGCATAGTAGTTTTTAGCGCGCGGCGCGTTGCGCGCCTGTTGGAGATGCTCTAAGTGTTGTATAAACACAAATTTATTGATCAATACTCAATTTTTTTTAGAAGATTAATACTCAAAGCTTCTGAGTACTGTACTACATCCGTGCTCAATGAACACGGGATTTTTATGTAGATGCGTTCCTTCTACTTATGGTCGTGCTCCTACGCTATCGCATCCGATCGAGTTATATATTGCTTCATTTTTCTTCTTCAGCTGTAAACCACTTCATGAGGGATGGCTGGACTTGCTGCCGACGATGTTGTTCTCCTTGACGCACGCGATCGCCTCGGCGCCGGTGAAACCTAGCCGCTGGAACGCCGTCGAGACGCTCCCGTCCTCCTCAGCGGCGTCGTCGTCGCAGCATCCAGCACCATTGGCGTACCGCCGCTGGTGCAGCACCTTACCGAGGAAGACGGCTCCGCAGGCCACGAGTGCGACGGAGATGCCGATCGCCCACCCGACAGCGATGAGCTTCGCGTGCGAGCGCCGGAGTCTGGAGGACGCTTCCGAGGATGAAGCGTTGGCCAGGCACGGGGGCAGCACGCCGCCGCAGAGCCCCGGGTTCCCGGCCAGCTCGTCGGGGTTGATCGTCCTCATCAGCCCCGTCGCCGGCACGGGACCGGTGAGGTTGTTGTACGCCACGCTGAGCATCTCGAGCGCCGGCGAGCTGCCCAGGTTGCTCGGTATCTCGCCGGAGAGGAGGTTGTTGGAGAGGTCTAGGACGGACAGTGCCGGCATCGTGGCGAACGGCCTGGGGATGTCGCCGGCGAGGCGGTTTCTCCTGAGGATCAGCGCCGCGAGCCGCTGGCACGACGCGAGACCCGCCGGGATGGCGCCGGAGAGCCGGTTGCCCGACAGATCAAGCGCGGAGAGTGCCCGGCAACCGCCCAGCTCGTCCGGCACGCCTCCGGTCAGCTCGTTCCCCGCTGCGGCGAACGTCTGCAGCGTCGGAATGGACAGGATGCGCGGCGGCAGTGCCGACCGCAGCCGGTTGCGCGAGAGGTCGATGAAGGAGAGCGACGTCGAGAGCGCCAGGTCGTCCGGGATCTCGCCGGAGAGCTCGTTCCCGGCCAGCTCCAGGCGATCCAGGCGATGCAATCGCCCGAGCGCCGTCGGCACCGCGCCGTTCAGCCGGTTGTTGTGCGCGCGCACGCGGACCAGCGACGAGCACGTGGCGAGGCTCGTCGGGATCGGGCCCGTGAAGGCATTGTTGAACAGTATCAGCCCGGTCAGGTTGCCGCTGCCGCAGAGGCCGGCGGGCACCGGCCCGGAGAGCGCGTTCGTCGACACGTCGAGCCACTGCAGTGGATGCTCGGCGCCGAGCGACAGCGGCAGCGGGCCGGTGAGGGAGTTGTTCCACAGCTGGAGCACCTCAAGCCTGGGAAGCTCACCGACGCCCGCCGGGACGCCGCCCTTGAGCCGGTTGCACATGATGTTGAGCAGCTGCAGGTTGGCGAGCTGCGCCAGCTCCGGTGGGATCGCGCCGGTGAGTGCATTTTCAGAGAGGTCGAGCATGACGAGGGAGGCCAGGTTGCCGAGCTCCTTGGGTATCTCACCGCCGACGTTGTTCCCGTAAAGGAACACGGTGTCGAGCGCCGGCAGCCGGCCGAGCTCGGGTGGGATGGGGCCTTCCAAGCCGCCGATCGCCATGTCAAGGTACCGGAGGTTCTTGAGCTTGCCGATGGCCGCTGGGATCGGGCCGGTGAACTCGTTGTAGCCGATGATGATCTGCTCTAACGCCGTGAGCTCGAATAGCACAGCCGGGAGAGCGCCGCTGAGGTTGTTGCCCGCGAGCCCCAAGAACTCGAGCTTCCGGAGCCTGCCGTAGCTCTCGGGGATCGTGCCAGAGAAGAAGCCGCCCCTGACGTCGAGGGTCTCGAGCTCGGTGGCGTTGCCGAGGTCGGCCGGGAGCGGGCCGACGAAGTCGTTGCCGGAGGAGTTGAAATGCGCCAGCGAGGCGCACGAGCCGAGGCCGGCCGGGAACAGGCCGGTGAAGCCGTTATCGCTGACGTCGAGCTCCCGGAGCGTCGGGATCGACACCAGCGCGGCCGGTAGCCCGCCCGCGAACGCGTTGCCGCGGAGCACGACCGAGGTGAGCGCGCTGAGGCCGAGGACGTCGTCCGGGATGGTGCCGCTCAGGTTCATGCCCGCGAGGTCAAGGCCGGTGACCGCGCCCCGGTCGTCGCAGCGCACGCCCTTCCAGCCGCAATGCGGCGCGGAGCCCCAGCCACTGAGCTCCCCCAGTGGGTCGGCGAGCAAGGCCCTGATGGCCAGCAGCATCGCCGCCTCGTCGCCCGTGGCGGCAGCGCCATTGGACGCCCCGGCGCGGCACACGAGCGACAATGAGAAGACGACTAAGAAGAAGAAGCGTGCCTTGCTGCTCAGCTGAGCTGTAGCATTCGCCATGCTCGTGAGCTCGTCTCTCCTTCGATTCTTCACTCCTAGTCCTTGACCAGCTAGCTTTGTGTTTACATCAACAAGTTTGTTTGAAGCAATAGGGAAATGGAGGGAAACTAACAGCCAAGCATATTTGCAGTGACAAGGTGAGAGCACCATGCAATCTTCCCAAGTTATAGTAAACCAAAAATTCACCCCAAAAAAAACTTAAAACCCTGTAAAATTGCTTCGAAAATTATTGTTGCGCTTCAAGTTGACTGCGTTGCGAGTTGACGACTCATAATTACAAATTTCAGTCAGCAATCACATCTTCATAATTATTACCAAATCTTTGTAAGACTTAGTCATTCAAAGATTCACCCAGCAAAAAGGACGAAGCCTGGTAAATTTCCTAAAATATTGTTAGGGCATTCAACGCGGACCCTCAAACCTCCCGCAGCCGGTCCGGATCATGGAAGCCATCCAACGCAATTCGGTATCGGTCCGCTGCGCCGGACGTGATTTTTCCCGCAAACGAAGACAAACATGGAGGAGGTTTGCGGGAGTCCGCACCGATCCCAAGCCCGCTTCTGACCGCCCTGGCCCACCAAAACCTCTCCTCCTCCCGCGTGTTCTCGGTCAGCGCCGCTCCAGAGCGTCAGCGCCCGCATTCATGCCCGGTCAGGGCGGAAGCGACCGCTCACTAGCGCCGGCATTGAAGTGGTGCGCCGGCCGAGAGAGCGCCGCCCGCGTCGCTTCCCTGTGCAGGCGACTGCGGCGCGTTCAAGCGACACGACAGCCGTTCGTCGGTACGTCTGCCGCCTGCATTGATGGCACGCGGTTGCCGAGGCATCTCCTCCGGCAACACCCGTCCGTCCCTCTACCGTCCACCAGTGCTATATAGACCGGTGCCCCGGCCATAGCCATAATCATACCTCTCCGCATCACTCCCCGCCATGAATCCATCTGCCGCCAAAGCTCTCTGGACAGGCTGACGTCGGAGTAGGAGAAGGAGATGGCCACCATTGATGCCGACTAGCAGGCCGGCAGGCAGCCGAAGGACGCCTCCGACGACGAGGTAGCGCCACCCTCCTCGCGGCACCCTCCTACTCCGCTCCACCCTTGCCGGTGCTTTGCACCATGACCATCGGCGAGGCATGTGCCCATTATATGGACATGGTGCGGGAGGAACAGTTCCGGGAGACACAGGCCGACGCCAACTACAACCACAACCTCCTCCAGGAGCATCTACAGGCGGAGGAGCAGGTCATCGTCGGCAGGGCGATCGCGCCGGACACGGACCTTGTGGAGCAGGAGGCATTGCTCGAGTCCTACCACTCTGCCCGCGAGATCCGCCTCACCCGTTGGCGGTACCGACAGCGAGTGGTGGAGGTGGCGACCGCCGGCAAGGAGTACGACGACGAGGCAGACGAGGTGTTGTTCGGCGAGATCGACGAGGAGGACATCGCCGGCTGTGCCCAAGCACCACGACCACGAAGAAGCCGGCACGTCCGCGGGCGCGGGCGGCAGCAAGGAAGGGTAGTGCACGGTAGGTCGCCGCCGCTCGTGTCCCAGGAAGGCCACCGCGCCTCCCCTCCCGTCAACACCAAGCTTCGTGGGCTGAGCATTTTTGGCCGATTAGTCGCTTGTCGGCGATGTGGAGGCGGATAGCTTCACTTCCGGGCCTCCGGAGGCGGAGGTTATGGAGGTAGAGCTGGAGAGCGCCGAGGCGGAGCTGGAAAAGGCAAATCTTCAGTTCTCTTGGCGGACGAGCTCTGCTTAGTTGATTAAATGGAATGAAATCCGTCACGCATAGATGAAATCCGTCGATTTAAATGAAATCCGTCAAGTTCATTTGAAATATGTCTGTGTTTATATGAAATCCGATTGTGTTTCATCAAATTCCGTCTGTTAGTTTGACTTGTTGTCAAAATGTATGTGGCTAGCGTCCTCCTGTATCCGTGTTCCCAAACTGATCATCTATCCATAGACGGATGCGGGAGAAAATTTACGAGTTACCGTTTTAGATCCCCTTACAGTTTCAGTTTACGGCGGCATTCGTGAGTAGCAAGTCAACGACCATTAATTACAAAATCCAGTCAAAGATACCATCTTCTTAATTACTCAATGGCTGAAGTTGACGGCTGCATGCACTCGTGGCTTGATGCAGGACTTCTTGACCCCCAAAAAAGATGATAACCAAGCTAAAGAATTGAGGATTTATTTATTTATTTGGAAAAGATAGAAATGGTTGATGTGAAGAAGAAGCAGGGAGATTCCCATTTCTTGTGTGGATTTACGAACATTAGTGATGTGCTTTTCTATAGGGACAGGTCAATCCACCCAAAATAAATTTTAGGTATATAGTCAGTTGACTCCAAACTCATAATTGACAAAATCTCTCATTTTTCTCCCTAATCTTATGCGCCTAGGGCAAACTCTCCCCCTTCCCCCTAGACTTCACCGCCGAGTCTGTGGATTTGCCACCCCTTTCTCTGCCGCTTTGGCGGCCAGTGGCGAGGAGAGGAATTGTGTTGCCTTCGCTCCAGCTAGTAGTTTAGATTAGATTTGTTAGTCCTCGCAGGTGCAGTTCTCAGACGGATGGCGACACTTTTTCTTCAAGTTTGTCTTCCGGGCTCTGATCCGGCTCGGTTTCATTCGTGTGGACGTAGCTCTCCATCATAGATTCCTGTCGTCTCCTTGGGGCGGTGAGGTTCGGATTTCTCGTCATGTGGCGGGTGCTTCAGATCTATGCATGGGTTCAACGGCGGCGGCTGTGACTCCAAGGCGCTGGTCCATAGGGGCACATGCATAAAGACTTCCTGGTTGTCATCGACAGGGTCAAGACGGCTCCGGTAGAGGAGCAGCATGGCGGTAACTCGTTCTGACGGTAGTAGTGGTTTTCGGTGGTCTGAGAATTTCAATTTAATCTTTATTGTGTTTGAGATGATTTGTCTAGATCTGATCGTTTTGTAAAAAAAACGTTTGACCCCAAACGTGTTCCTACATGTTGAGTTATCATCTATCACATCTGCACATAGTAACTCCTACACAGTCGTGCCTCTAAATAGTACTCCCTCCGTCCCAAAATTCTTGTTTTAGATTTGTGTTGATACGGATATATGTAATACTAAGATGATCACTCAAGGCTATGCAACATACCAAGCCCACCTCTCCTCGCCGCCGCCAACCCTAGCCGCGCCCAGCCCTCCTCCACCCTCACCTCTCCTCGCCGCCGCCAGAGGCGGTCTCCGAGCAAGTCCAAGACGCCGCCAAGGAAGGTGGCGGCGGGGCCAGCTGCTGCTCTGCTTCCGCGGGGGGCTTCGGATCTGGGGCGGCGGCCCCTTTGGTGAGGCACCACCGGCTTAGCGGCGGGCGGTGGTGCGGGCGTTTGGTTCCGGCGTTCTTGGCCGCGCGGGCGGCGGAATCTCGGAGGACGAGGGCGACGGCGCCAGGTCTGGCGCCCCTCTCCCTTGTACGGTGTGTTCTCCCCCATCCGGCCTGCCTGTGTTCCATGGGACGCCGGCGTTGGTGGTGCTAGTGGTGGGGAATCCAGTCCTGGCGAAAGCCATGGCCGACCATGGTCGACTGCGTCGACGGCGACGCCTGAGGGCGCCGTGTCCCTCCTTGGAGGCGTCTGACAGGTCTGATCCCCCCACTCCCCCTTCCCCTAGTTCTCCGGGCGAAAGCCCCAACTTTGTTGGGCGGCGGCGGCGCCATCGGCGTCGTATCCTTCTTGAAGGCACCGTTTAGGAAGCTTGGTGGTCGGTGGGCGCTGTTGGGGTGCGTGTGGTGGCGGCGGTGGTACCCTCCTCGTCCTAGCTCTTGCTTTCCATCGCCATTGTATCTTTCCGCTCTGCAAGGCGGTGGCGCTGTCTGGCGCCATGGTGGCGTTGACAGTTGACCTGGCAAGGTCTTTGCGTCGGTGCTTGCTCTGGAGATGGTTATGTGGATGACGGCGGCGGTAGCCTCGGTGAGTGCGCTGGACCGGTGTGTGACCCATTCCCGGTATGTGGCTGCGATGGGACATCCGGCTTTAGATGTTAGGTTGTGGTGCAATGTCTGTTTGGTATTAGGCTCGGACATTCGGCACCCCTGCATCAAGGGGATAGGAATAGCGACAGGTGTCGCCAGGATGGTGGTTCCAGGCTTATACTGATGTAATGCTTTGTAAAGTCTCTGAGTATAATTAATAAAATGGCTGCATGCATCGATCAGATGCAGAGGCCGGGGGTGATCCTCCTTTTCTAAAAAAAACTAAGAAGTAACTTGATACAGAGAACAGAGATAGCGTGGACGAGCTCGTTTGCTCCCGGTACATGGACCAATGGTACAGCGTGCACATGGGGCTGACATTAATACATGGTGTGTTTAAAAGTGTGGATAATAGTTGATATACGGCCCTTGGCCCGTATAGCGGGGTTACGGCGCCAGGCCTTGCCGTGACTGAAACTGACGAGCCGTTTCGTTGGACCACACACACCAGGGAGACGCACGCGCGGGCGCATCGCCGCCACCGACCGGTGAGGCTGCCTCAACCATGCAGAAGCGGAAGCGGGCAGAGGAGGAGTACGCGGCGTCTGACGTGCTGGACCTCAGCCGACCAAGCGGCTGGTGTTGGGGTTCAAGCGCCGCCTTCAGGACAACCTCGGCGTGCGGATGAAGCACCCGAACAAGGACGACCCGCCATGTTCGCCAACTCAGAGCTCGCCTTCCACGCCAAGATGTATAGACTTCGTCTCCTCGCGACACGCCCGAGATCTTCCCTGATCTCATCCCTGTCTGCGTCGCATCGTCCATCTCCAGCGGCGTCATCCCGTGGCCTCCCAGCAGGCTTCCAAGCGGTAACGGATGTGGAGCTCCATGGAATAATCTAAGGCGGCAGATGAGGTACTTCCTCTCATCATCATTTTCTTAGTGTTGACTGCAATGTGAAGCGTAGTAGTACTGTCAAAATGTGAGCATACTCTCGTTTTTCTCTATTTAGGTTCAATCCAGTTCAATTAGGTTCAGGTTCACATTCCTGGCAT